TGGTGCTTGATTAGCTCCTCTGATAACAATATGCCCAATGGAACCCACAGAGAGTAGGTAATTTAAGGAATGACTGTCAAATGTTTCACAGAAATCCCTACTTAGAGTGATAGCTAAAGTTCTACTAGAAAAGAAATCCACAGAGGGAACATTAAAATTGTCACATGGATTGGGAGGCCGAGGCGGGTGAATCATGAGGTCAAGAGATCGAGACCATCCTGATCAACATGGTGAAACCCCATCTCTACTAAAAATACAAAAAATTAGCTGGGCACGGTGGCGCGTGCCTGTAATCCCAGCTACTCAGGAGGCTGAGGCAGGAGAATTGCCTGAACCCAGGAGGCAGAGGTTACGGTGAGCCGAGATCATGCCATTGCACTCCTGCCTGGGTAACAAGGGCGAAACTGTCTCAAAAAAAAAAAAAAAATTGTCACATGGATTAAGGTACTCCCAAAAGAGTCTATTATAGATAATATAAAGAGCCAAAATTTGGAATCACAATTACTGAACCTCCTTCCCAAACAAGTATCTCATCTCTTGAGACCCTATGCTAAATTAGCTGGGGGAACCAACAACTATCATCTCAAAAAGCTGCTACCATCTCTCAAAAAAGCATCTGTCTGCATCTTACAGGATATGCTAGATGACTTGGTGGGACCAAAACTGGCAGTTTAACTGCCTTAGGTACTTCCTCAGTGGGATGCCATTCAATCTGACCCTAGGTATGAAACTTCTGGTCCTCAGGGAAGTTACAGCACTCAGCAAAAAAAATGAAGTATATGTGGCTAATGTTACAGATTTGTGGTCTTCTTGGAGGAATAAAAGCAGTGCCAAATGCATGGCTTGAGGCATGAGGGCTGGAAAAATTCCCACCTACTATCTCTGACAACTATGCCAACCTTTTCTGTGAGAAACAGCTGACATTCAGTAATTCAGAAGCCTGGAGAACAATCCCAGACTGTGTGACCTGTCTAGGCTTCAGATTCTCACTGCTGTAAAAAGAGTTGAGATTTAATAATTTCAATGGTATCATCTCCTTTAATACAATATGACTTCAGTGCAACTCCCCACAGCCATTAAGGCTCTAGTCCAACAGTATAACAAATAGTATAAGATAGAGTATAAGGGCACAGACTCTAGAGGTAGATTACGTAGCTTCAAATCCACGCCTCCCCCACTCATCATGTGACACTGGGCAAGTCATTTAATCTTAGTAAAGGGGTGCCAGTTTCCTTCTATGTACTCACAGGGAGCTGTGAGGCTTAAATGAGTTAACACATGTAAGCAGCCTATAGTAATGCCTGGCACACAGTGAGTTCTCAAAGTTTTAACGATTATTACAATTATTATCAATAGTAGTACCAGTATTACTACTCCTTTACTTCAAAGCTGATAGGAAACTCCTCTCTACTGGCCCACACTTCCTTCAAAGAGAAATGCATCCAAATTACAAAAGGCATGGCTTCTATTACTGTCCCTGAAATCTCAGTCTGCATGGGAGTTCTTTAATTTTATGCCTGAAAAATTTGACAATAAAGGGTTAAAAATTCATCCTAAAATAATTTTTCCAACAGATATTGAGTACTTACTTAATGTGCCAGGTACAGAGGTACCTGGAACCAGGAAGGTACCAGGAACAAAGTGGAACATGAGAGCCACAGTCCAGTTCTCATGAAGCTGGCAGTAATGAGCTTTACCTTGTGGAGTCCTTGGCCATTTTTCCCTGTCACTTAATTCTCAATCAAATCATTACTACTATTTTCAAGATCACCTAAACCTTCTCCAATAAGTCACTTCACATTTCTGCCCCAACTCTCTTCATCATTTAAAACTCAACACACCAATTACTACTTTTTCCCCAAAAAAACTCTCTTCTTGAAACCTCCTCATGACCAGGGAGTTAGGTCTATCAATTCATCACCCACTGATATGATGCTTACAAAATGTCCCACTGCTCTACAACAGCTCTAAAACCACTCCCCACCCCAACAGTATCTACCCAACTCCCAGTTTCACCCATGCTCACATTCTGAATTTGCCTTCCTTCTACATTTTCCCCCTTTCTGCTTCCTCCTGAATTCTCTCAAAAGCCCCTCTATTTTTTTTTTCTTTTTACTTTTTTTTTTTTTTTTGAGATGGAGACATGCTCTGTCACCCAAGCTGGAGTGCAATGGCACAATCTCGGCACTCTGCAACCTCTGCCTCCCAGGTTCAAGCGATTCTCCTGCCTCAGCCTCCCAAGTAGCTGGGATTACAGGTGCCCACCACCACACCTGGCTAATTTTTTTTTTTTCAGTACAGACAGTTTCACCATGTCAGCCAGGCTGGTCTCAAACTCCTGACCTCAAGTGATCCACCTGCCTCAGCCTCCCAAAGTGCTGGGATTACAGTTGTGAGCCACCACGCACCCTCCCCCGCAGGCCTCCCTAGTTTTGTCATTCAAATCACTTTTATTCCAGATTTTACCTCTGTACTGTAAGCATTTTCTGTAAGCATGTTCCGATCCCATCAGGGGCTCTCTCTGCCCTATGTCTACTGCTACCTCTACCCCACATTATTCTCCTTGGCCAATTGCTACGATACCTTGTTATTCATCCTATGATCTATCCAAATTAGATCCTTTACACTTTTACATATAGCTTTGAAATGTTCCATCTCCCTTCCCTTGGAAAACTCATCTCCTCTGCCTAGAATATCTTCTTCCCTTTCATTCTCTGCACATGGAACATCTCCTGATCCTAAGGTCTAGGGAAAATCCTATCCACTCTCTCTGAAATCTTCTTCCCTAAAACTAAATTTAGAAATTCCTTCCTTCTTGGGAATTTCCACATAACATTGTTTTTCTTTCTTTTTTTTCATTTTTATTTTTTTTGAGGAGTTTTTGGCTCTTGTTACTCAAGCTGGAGTGCAATGGCGCAATCTCGGCTCACCGCAACCTCCACCTCCTGGGTTCAAGCAATTCTCCTGCCTCAGCCTCCTGAGTAGCTGGGATTACAGGCATGCGCCACCATGTCCAGCTAATTTTTTGTATTTTTAGTAGAGACAGGGGTTTCACCATGTTGACCAGGATGGTCTCGATCTCTTGACCTCGTGATCCACTTGCCTCGGCCTCCCAAAGTTTTAGGATTACAGGCGTGAGCCAGCGCACCCAGCTAACATTGTTTTTATCAATCTTTTTTTTTCTTTTTTTGAAATGGAGTCTCGCTGTCACCAGGCTAGAGTGCAGTGGCACAATCTTGGCTCACTGCAACCTCCGCCTCCCATGTTCAAGCGATTCTCCTGCCTCAGCCTACTGAGTAGCTGGGACTACAGGCGCGTGCCAACATGCTCAGCTAATTTTTATATTTTTAGTAGAGATGGGGTTTCACCATGTTCGCCAGGATGGTCTTGATCTCTTGACCTTGTGATCCACCCGCCTTAGCCTCCCAAAATACTGGGATTACAGCTGTGAGCCACTGCGCCTGGCCTGTTTTTATTCATCTTATAGCACTTTTTTAAACTATTATTTTAGTCTCATTTTTTCATTTTAGAGTGGTAAATAACATAAGATAATGAGTAGTCTTAAAAATCCTCCAGGCTGGGCACAGTGGCTCATGTCTGTAATCCCAGCACTTTGGGAGGCTGAGGTGGGAAAATCACTTGAGCCGAGGAGTTTGAGACCAGCCTGGACAATATAATGAGACCTCATCTCTACTAAAATTGGAAAACAAATTATCTGGGTGTGGTGGTGCACGCCTATATCTACGCTACTGGACAGGGAGAGTGGGTCTGAGGCAGAAGGATCCCTTGAGCCCAGGAAGTTGAGGCTGCAGTGAGCCCTGATGGCACCACCGTACTCTAACCTGGGCAACAGAGCAAGACCCTGTCTCAAAAAAAAAAAAAAAAAAATGCTCCAAACCAACCAACATAATTGCATACAGTAAGGTCAACAAACATGAATAAGATCAAATGTCTGTCCTTTTCTTTGTCCAGAATGCCGAAGGATCAGGAATTTTCCAGATAGGACCTTCCTTGTAGATAGTTTTAAAGGACTTCTCTAATTAAGAGTATACTCACTTGAGCCAAGGGTTATAAGCTCCTCAACCTAACAGTGGCCAATTTAATCCAGTTCAACAAGCAGGTATCAAATGCCCACCACTGGGGTCGTCGATTCCCATGCATGGTATTTTTTCTACAGCAGTTTCTACAGCACCCTCTACTTTTTCCTACTCATATATTTCTCCTGTATGAAATTATTTTGGAACCTTCCCAAGTCTAATTCCAGCACAAACAAGTAAGGCTCTACCATACTATTTCAATCAATTGTTACGAGTATTTTATGAGTTTTCAAGTTCACCTCTTTTGGGTCTTTGCCCTTTATAATTTGGGCATATTGTGATACTTTAAGGCTAGAAGAAAAATAGTGACAGTAGTAAACTACCAACCTTCTACCCACTAATTGAGCCACTTATCCCAGGCCAAACAGTGCTTTATAAATTTAGCCTCAGTAACTGTCACCACAACAACTTGGTGAGATGAATACTATTAGTCTTATTTTCTGGATTTTTTTTTTTTAAGCTGGGCTTAAAGTTGCTGAACATTTCACTGTGAGTTAAGTGACAAAGTTGAGATTCAAGCCTGACTGGGCAAGCCTAGCTAGGCATGGTGGCTCATACTACAATCCCAGCACTTTGGGAAGCCAAGGCAGGAGAATCTTTTGAGCTCAAGAGTTCAGGACCAGCCTGAGCAACATGGCAAAAACTCATCTCTACAAACATACAAATAAAAAATTAGCCAAGATGTCATAGTGCACGTCTGTACTCCCAGCTTTTGGGAGGCTGAGGTGGAAGGATTGCTTGAGCTCAGGAGGTCAGGGCTACAGTGAGCCATGATTGTGCTACTGCACTCCAGACTGAGTGACAGAGAAAGATGTCTCAAAAAAAAAAAAAAAAAAAAAGCCAAGTTGAAGTGTAAGGACTCTTGTGACAATCTTCAGGTGCCCTCCAAAAGGAAAGGGGAGGATGCCACTGGAGTCATCTTTCTCTTCAGTGCCACTATCCTTCCCATCTCTCTTACCCTCAGTACCACCCAACACTAGCTCTTCCCCTCCTCCGATGTGTCTTACATCACCTCCCAGAAGATAAAGTGTATTCTTCACTGGTTTGCCAATTGGTCAGGTCCCCAGTGTGAACGTTTCCTAGAGGACCTGGGAGCTAGGCAGTGGCAGGAAAATTACAGCCACTACTGAATAGTCTGGAGCAGCTTAGTGTGTCTGGGGCAAACCGACCACCTTCTGTCTGAGTGCCAGATACATCTTTGGGATCAGTGGTTTTGAGGCTGGGCTGAGCAGAGCACAATGAATTTGTCAGACAGCTGGAGTTCAGTGAGCCAGACTTTGTGGCAAAGTTTTACCAAGCAGTAGCTGCTAGAGCTTGTAAGGACTGATAGGCATTCAGACCAAAGAAGATTACCATAGCTGATGGACCCAAGGCCATGACTCTACAATGAGAATTCAATTCAAATGTGTCACCTAAAGGTCTGGAACTGGTATTCCAACCAGCTGACTGAACTCACTGACCAGTACAGGCATGGTTATTTCAACATTAATAGCAAGTCAACTGGACTCCTATTTGTAAATGCTATAAATCTAAGCAATCCAGTTCATTGGTCTACTAGTTTGCTTCTTTCCAAGAGACGTCAAATCTTCAAGAATGTGATGGCTTCTTCTGCAGCTATAACCAAAAGGAACCTACACGTTATAACTCAAGCCCACTGCTGGCTCATGAAGTGTGTAAAGTAGACCCTTCGGACAGGACAATACAGGGTAGTCTAAAAAAAGGCTATGTCTAACTCTAACTCTGAAGCCTAATGTTCTTAACCTCTACATTGAATCATGAAAAAGAATAAAGTCATAAGGATAGTGAAGTATTTGGGGGAAAAACTTTTAAGAAAACAGATAAAACAAAGTATGAGAAACACCACCCAATCTTACTGTGAGGACTCTCATAGCTAGGCTAAAATTATAAAGATACAACTCTTACGGCTCTTTTTTTAAATCTTTTGAAATATAAATAAAGCTTGACAAAGAAAAAGTGGAATGCAATGCCAATTATTTAGTGCAGAAATATCACTTGCTCACGAAGGATCCTGGTCTTGTTGCTTAGTACTACAGCACTTTGGCTCACATTACCTACAAGAGGCGGAAAACACTTAAAAATATCTGTTTCAAGGGACTGTTAGAAAGTTGACTAACACATATATTCTAAAATCATTTGCTTTGTTAGAGAATAAAGATTTTTAATTACAATATCAACTAAATTTTAGCGCCAACATTAAAGATCTGTTGTGAAAAAGTCATTTCCCAAAACTAGAGAACTGGTTTCCTCATATTTAAAATTGCTCAGTTGGTACAAAGTCAATTTTCACGGCAACTGTCTACTTCAACAGCTATCCCTTGCTGAAAAGGCTTAGGAACTGGTCACTGGATCCATGTTCTACATCCCAGTAACTAAATCTTAACTCAATCTATTACCTTACCTTTAAACGAGGGCCCATGTTCTGAGAACCAACTAGAGCACTCTTATCACCAAAGCAGGTAAGTTTTGGTGCCTTTCACCTTGTCTTCCAACTTCCACATGAAAGAAAAATGCCGCAAGGTCAACAGAAAGGGTCTATCCATCAGACTTTGTCACAGTAAGCAGGTCAGTGTTTCTGGGATGAACTGGATGAATTCCAGGGTAGAGAAATACAGCCCAAGAATGTATCATTCCTGGACTTCTCTCTAGTGCAGGGTGCAACCAACTGCCAAAGGATGCCCCAGGATCCTGTCCAAAAAAGAAAACAGGGTTAGTTGGAATAGGTTTTTATTTCTCAAAAAGATCCCCCAGAAAAAAACAAAGAGGAGGTAGAACAAGCAGTGGAAACCTTGGGACACTAAAAATAATCAAGGATTGGCAAACTCTGACCAAGCATTCTCAGTTAAAACTCCACAGTTTCCTTGAGGTCTCCCTCCAACTCCACAAGAAAAGTCAATTGGCAGGGCCGGGCCCAGTGGCTCACGCCTGTAATCCCAGGACTTTGGGAGGCCAAGGCGGGCAGATCACAATGTCAGGAGTTTGAGACCAGCCTGGACAACACTGTGAAAATCTGTCTCTACTAAAAATACAAAAATTAGCCAGGCATGGTGGCGTGCACCTGTAGTCCCAGTTATTTAGGAGGCTGAGGCAGGAGAATCGCTTGAACCCGGGAGGCAGAGGTTGCAGTGAGCTGAGATGGTACCATTGCATTCCAGCTTGGGTGACAGAGTAAAAAAGAGGACAGAAGGACAGATGGACGGATGGATGGATGAATGGACAGACGAAGGGAGGGGAGGGGAAGGGAGGAAGGAAAAGAAAAGAAAGTAAGAAAGAAGAACGCTTCCTTCAGTTCAGCGTTCCCAAATACTTCACTATCCTTATGACTTTATTCTTTTTCACGATTCAGCATAGAGGTTAAGAGCACTGAGCTTCAGAGTTAGCCACAGGCTTTTTTTTTTTTTTTAGACAGGAGTCTTTCTCTGTCACACAGGTTGGAGTGTAGCGGCATGATCACAGTTCACTGCAACCTTGACCTCCTGGACTCAAGAGATCCTCCCACCTCAGCCTCCCAAGTAGCTGGGACTACAGGCGTACACTACCACACCTGGCTAATTTTTTATTTGTATTTTTTGTAGAGATGGGGTTTCGCCATGTTGCTCAGGCTGGTCCCGAACTCCTGAGCTCAAGTGATCCTCCTGCCTTGGCCTCCCAAAGTGCCGGGATTACAGATGTGAGTGCTTCCTTCAGTAGAAGCAAACTAGGGCACAGACTTAAAGAGTAACCTTCAATCCAACCACATAACAAGTTTGAATAAAATGGGGTACAGAGTCTGGAGCAAGCGCAAAGACAAACGAGACGGAAGCAGAGGTAGAACCAGGTTATGGAGAGCCTTGTATGCAATGATAAGGGATCAAGTAATATTCAGCCGGAAAGGAGAAACCACCAAAGAGCTTTAAAGCCCAATCCATCAGCCTATGCAGTCTGTTCCCTTTGTACTCACATATGCATTTCCAAGACATGGTTAAAGAAAGTTGATTTTATATTTAAAGCAGTAAAATCTGCTACTAAGAGTCGGGGGAAAATCTGCGAACTTTCAAAATAAAGTCACTAAATAAAGTCCAGTAAAGTCAGTTTATAACTCTCAAAGATATTCATAAACCAAAAATGTAGCAGAAAGGGGGTTTACAGCAATGCATACACAAACAGCCACCATAAGACAAATGAGAAGAGATTACTAATTAGTAAATGAAAAGAGACAGTCTTACCATATGGTAGGGGCTGTTCTCAGTGCTTCATGCATTTAAATTCACAACCCCAACACAGATACAACTATCCCTCTTTTACAGAAGAGGAAACTGGGACACAGAAAGGTTAAAGTACTTTTTCAAGATAGCACACAGTGAGGAGAGCTAGGTCAAGCTCAGACTCAGACAAACTGGACCCAGAATTCATGCTTTTAATGACTACTCTACTGCCTCTCTACTATGGAAACCAAGGAAGAAAGAACAAAGGCTAAGAAGAACAGAATGAGGGAAGACCAGCAAATGAAATTAGGTTGGCAAACTTTATCATTAAAAATAAATAAGCATATGTATTTATTTTAAAATATGGCAACATGATCAGGCACGGTAGCTTACACCTGCAATCCCAGCACTTTGGGAGGCCGAGGCGGGTGGATCACAAGGTCAAGAGATCAAGACCATCCCGGTCGGCATGGTGAAACCCCCGTCTCTACTAAAAATACAAAAAATTAGCTGGGCATGGTGGCGCGTGCTTGTAATCCCAGCTACTCAGGAGGCTGAGGCAAGAGAATGGCCTGAACCCAGGAGGCGGAGGTTGCAGTGAGCCGAGATAGCGCCATTGCACTCCAGCCTGGGTAACAAGAGTGAAACTACGTCTCAAAAAAATAAATAATTAATTAATTTTAAAAATTTTTAAAAATTAAAAAATTAGCCAGGTGTGGTGGCTTGCACCTGTGGTCCCAGCTACTTGAAGGCTGAGGTAGGGGACTGGCTTCAGCCCAGGAGGCAGAGGTTGCAGTGAGCCGAGATCATGCCACTGCATTCCAACCTGAGCAACAGAGCCACCCCCCCTTCCGCCTATAAATAAATAAATAAATAACACCGACAGACTTGCCAAGTACACAAGCCAAAACCTGGATCAACCAGCAACTGCAACCAGCTTAAAGGATCCACAAACAAGAGACTCTGTACATAAACTATAAGAGATCCCTATGTAAAATACTATATAAGGAATTTTTAAATGACACTTTTAAGCAGTAATAACATAGGGAAATGCTCACAAATAAAATGTTAAATAAAAAAGCAGGCACAAAACTGCTTATGTAGAACGAGCCCAAATTTAGAAATATTACATAAAGAAGATTGAAAGAAAAAATACAAAAATATAAATATTAATAGTGATAATCTCTTTTTCAAATTCTTAATGTTGCAAGGACATGTAAAAGTTTATTTCTGGAGAATGCATTTTTTGGCGGGACTGAATTTCCTTAAATAACGGAGAGAATGGGCAACTTATCCTTTTTTCAAATATGGTATAAAAAAATTAAGATAACAGATTGTACTGAACTTTTCTTTTTTTTTTTTGAGATAGAGCCTTGTTCTGTTGCCCAGGCTGAAGTGCAGTGGCATGATCTTGGTTCACCGCCTCATTGCAACTTCTACCTCCTGGATTCCAGCGATTCTCCTGCCTCAGCCTCCCTAGTACCTGGGACTACAGGTGTGCACCACTATGCCTAATTTTTGTATTTTTGGTAGAGATGGGGTTTCACCATGTTGGCCAGGCTGGTCTCAAACTCCTGAGCTCAGGTGACTTGCCCACCTCGGCCTTCCAAAGCACTGGGATTACAGGTGTGAGCCACTGTGCCTGGCCTGAACTTATTTCTATTCACTGGATCTTAGTAGGTTTCTAACCCTGTGATCAGCTATTTGATTACTAAATCAAATAACTCCCAGTTCTAATGTAAACTTTATTGTCCCTACTATGAGCTACCATGCTTATCCCGATTCTTTGGTACCTCTACTGAGCTTCAAAATTCAACTCAAGCACTCTCCCTTCTCTGGTCCAGCTCCAAGGCCTCTCTGAGGACTCTACCCACACCAGATAGAATCAACCACTTCCTCCTTTGTGGTACTCCTCTGCTGAAGAAACCTCTATTATAGCATTTATTAGTCTGAATGGAAATTACTTGTTTACATAGCAGTCTCTCCTAATAGATTGTGGACTCTCCAAGGAACAGTGACCAGTTCATATCACTGCCTCCCCATGGCTAGTATGGTGTTCAGCCCTACTATCTCAGAGCCTGTACTTCCACAAGATCGCCAGGTGAGTCCTATGCATGTTGAAGTTTGAGAAGCATCGTTTAGACTCTAGAGCACTCAGCATGAGAAGGGGCTCAATATTCTGTATCTCTAACAGATTCACAGGTAATGCTGATGCTACTTGTCTCCTAGACCACACTTTCAGAAGTGAGAATCCAGGCCAAATCCTGACAGCTGCCTGTTTTTGTAAAAACAGAATGAAAACAGCCAAGTTCATTCATTTACAAATTATCCATGGCTGCTTTTGCACAATGGCAGAGACATATGGGCCACAAAACTTTATTATCTGACCCTTTATTGAAAAGTACTAATTCCTGGTATAGAGAGGTCTTAGTCTTAAAGCTACATAACTGCCTTATATAAATGAACATGTTTTTCTAAATC